AAACGTATGCAGCACACTTTGCTGCCTGTCACAGTGGCGTCCAAAATAATATGCTCGCTAGCAAATTAAAGCTGTAAATAGCTAAATAAGTAGTCAAAAGATTAAACTAAGTAGAATTGTTTGACTAAACATTGAAAGGTGTTTAGTGCGTTATTTATGACAATTTTTTACTAAGCTCGTATAATCTTATTCTATCGCATTAAAGCATTATCAAAAACGAATTTGAATTGAAATTAAGTTGCTAACTAAATGGGGTCCAGTTATAAACAGCGCACTCGACCATTGCCCCAACGCTTTGATATCTGTTTATGTATATATATGTATTACTTATACATATATATTTGTGTAATGAATATAAAGATAGGCAAGTCCAATCGATTGCCAGGAAATTTATGTTTTTTTTTTCCAATCTAAACCATATAAAAGCCAATCTAATCCAAATTTCAGTTAATCATTGATTTTTAGTGGCTAAAAGTTCAAAACAAAGAATACCACTAAATAATTTCTATAAATATTTCAATTGACTGTATACTTAATGCCCGCATATATCCCATATTTATCAGATTATTTGACAAACACCTTTGAAAACAATCAATCAAAAAGAAAAAAATTGTAGCTGTGGACAGTTATCTGAATTAAACTAGTTTCTGGTGCGTGTGTATATGTGTTCTATTATTGCCGATGTTATCGCAAAGTTAACATTCTGCTATAATTGTTTGACAACGCAAAATACATGAATATGTTTAATTTAATTGATTTTAATAGCTGTTAAAAATATCTATAAGCGAATGAATTATTTTATATAAATAAAAAACGAGTTGGCTTACAATTTTACACTTGAAAAACAAATATTAATAATAATAAGTCAATAAGCCAAGGTTAAGGAATCGATGAACCAAAACGAAAACAGTTTAGCTGTTAGCTCAAAGCTGTTAATGAAAATGAAATGTTAATTGAAGCTTCAAAAACAAAACAATGTTTTGTACATATGTAAATATATACACTAAATATTATATACACACATCTATAACTAAATATATATATATGTATCTATGTACAGCTAGCTGTACGATATTCGTAGATATATAGCAAAAATTATTATTGTCTTGGTTGCTCTTTTATTTGTGTCATATTTGTGCTCTCTTTTTCTAGTAATATTCAGCAGTAGTAAAAGGAAATAATTTCAATTTTTATTGTAGCTGCATTTTCGAGTGGAAATTCGAAAATGTTTGCAAGCTTTTCTGTTTGAATTTTTGGAGTTAATTTTGGTWTTTTATTATTATTAGCTGTGCGCCTTGCCCAATACCGAAGAAACTACATCTAAACAGTAAATCGGACAGGAAATGCGCGCGTCGGTAATATAATTAAGCCAACTTGTAGGTCAAAACGTGGCTGGCAGGCGGAGCGGCAGCTATTCGGTGTTGCAATAACGGTAAATGCATACACAGACACATAATCATTCAAAAGCTCACGTCTCTCAGCGACAGCGGATGAGTGAGTAATTGAGAAAGTGTAGAGTGGGAGAGAGAGGGAGGGAAAGACAGAGAGAGATCGGTGACAAATTACAAATGGCCGACAAATTAGTTGCAGGTTTAAATGACGACTTCCGTATAATCAGCGAAAGAACCAGAAAAACATTAGACAAATTTGCACATTTAATCAAAGACAATTGAATAATTACGTGCATAAAATAACTGGAGTACAGACAGAGCCGAACATGTACTACACTTGGCAATACCCTATAACAAGTATTTAGATAATCTAACATCAGTAATAGAAAAAAATGTTACGATTCATTTACACGGTGTACATTAACTATAAGGAAAACACATGAAGGAAAGTCCGGCAAGAGTAACATATCCAATAGGAACAATAAATATATAAATATTTATACGAAATTTTAAAAAAACTAAAAAGCTTTTTTTTTACGTTTGACTAGCTTAACTATACTCTTTTTCGTACGACTCCTGTTGAAGTACAGGGTATTTATTAACTATCATAAGGAAACAAACACCTCCACACTCACGCGCGCACACATACATCTATGTGTACTTAGGATAGTTGCTCTCTTGCCTTCAGGGGCGGCGGCAGGTGTGCGAGAGCGAGACAACAACAGTGCAATGCCTAAGACAATTGTCAAGTGCTGCCTGCCACGCTGCTTGTTCTGCTTGCTGTTGTTGTTGTTACTGCACTTCCTACTAGGAAATTCTATAGAAAAATGTGCAGACGACGACAAACACCGCACACCGCTTCCCAATGCAGTCGGCAAGTGTCATTTGAGACGCACATACACACATACATAGCGCTGAAGATCTGTGCAGCTGTCGCCGTTCATATATACATACATATATATGTGTGTGCGTGAGCATTTTATGCTCTTTTTATTGTATGCAGCAAAATGCATAAAATCAGAGAGCAAACAAACAGCAGCTGTCGCAACAGTAAAACTTAAACTCCACTTCCAGCCGAGAGGAGCGAGGGAGATGGGACTACGTCGCCTGCACCCCATGAACTTTTGTGCTCAATAATCCACTTGCCAAAGTGCCTGGACAATAGCAACAAAAATTCAAGAAAAACTGAAAATTGCATAATGCTGCCAAAACGCCATTTGGCAGCCAGCGGCAAATCAATTTAGCTTGATTAATGCAAAACAGCAGCAATCGCAGCAGCGCCCTCTGGCGACGAATTGTGCCAAATTACAGCATTCTCAGTCCCATTGGAATGGATCATCATCATTATTTATTTATCATATGCTTATTCATATTTATTTGCTGGAACCTGCGGGGGGCTAATTTTTGCGCATTTCCACATGTGTGCGAGTGCGTCTGATTTTTCCCAATTCTTTCGCCCACCTATGGTGGCATTCAACAAAAATTTGTTCAATTTTGGTAATGCGGGAAATTTTTTCCCTTTGCTACCTGCCAATAGCGGCCATGTGTGTGCGTGTGTTTGCGTGAGTGTGTGTGTGGTAGGCGTGGGAAATGCAACTTGCCGAAAGAAGGAAGGAAGAAAAAAAAATTGCAATTGTCGTCGGTGCAAGGACGTGTGAAAATGCGCAAATGACAGGAAACGTGAGCGTGCAGACGCCCCGTAGCTTCCAGCCAGTTCCTGGAATATCGTCCAACTAACTGACAGACTTCCAACATAATTGAGACGTAGCAAATAAGTAATAACCGTAATAGTGTAATACGCACCTTTGTTTTTGCCTTTGAAAGAGTCTTTCTCGTTTGCACAGTGAGCGCGTATTCCAGCAGCTTCCCCGTTGATCGAAGACCACAACGTAAACGTAGAGAAAGAAAAAACTTTCGACTGACAACACAAGAAATTGTCAAAATTCCATAAACACGGACGAAAACACACTCACTTGCGAATATAACGTATGGAGCATGAAAGAGTGAACCACTTGAGAGCTTTTGACTATTGCTCTTAAGTCGTGCGAGTGTTTGAAACTCGTATTTTACTTCTTTTTATTTATTTACTTYTCTTTCTACTTTTGTTGTTGTGTTGAGTTGCCGATTTTTCACACTTTTGTTACGCTTTTGCCGTTTTTCTTTGATGCAACATAATTATTTATTTGCTTTGGGAGTAGCCACACAATTTATTTATTATAAATGCTTTTGGGCTCCCACACACACAAGCACTCACACACGGGCACGCACACACACACTGAAACATGTACGCAACGCAACGCACCGCGCGCTCTTTCTCTTTCGCTCGACGGCGCTGCAAACACACATAGACAGAATATTCATTCACGATACGTTTACGATACGTATAAATGATCTGCGCGCTCGCTCACACCCATGGGGGCGAGAGCAGTTTCTGCGGCTACTGCTGTTGTTGTTGTTGTTATGGTTGGATATTGTCTGTTTGTCTGGCGACTGTGGCTGCGGCTGCTGTTGTTGAAGAAAATCCAAGAAAAAATAATACTAGTATATGAAATGAATGCCACCGTAAAGCAAAGACGCACAAAAGTAATTAACACGAAAAAAATGAGTGTTGTTGTTGCTGTTGTTGTTAATGCGCTTCTCGCAGTCGAATTCTTATTCTATACTTTTCGCTATTAAGCATAAAATTTTATTAAATTTTGCTTCATTTTCTTGTTGTTGGCTTTCTTCAATTTTTCATCGTTTTATGATGTCTTAGACGATGTCTACCTGTGCCAGCGCTGCCGACGCCGTCGCTGCTGCTGCTACTGCTGCTGTTTTACGTTGAACAAGCATACAAAAACAACATACACACACGAAACGTAAAGTGGGCAAAAGCAAGAGCCAAATACGATACGCTGCGGAACGAACGGAACCCGTATATATGCACGCGCTGCTCGCATTTGGAAAGGCACTCGAGATTACACGTCAATTGCACATAACGTGCCGCTCATATGAATTTACAATTTTATTTGTTATTTGATTTTGTTTTGTTTTTTATTATTATTTTTTTAGTTCGCTTTTTTCGTTTGCGTGTTGCATTTGATTTCGATTTTTAATTGCTACTGCGGATTTTTTTCACTGTGCCACAAAACCCACTCGCGTTACGCGTTACGTTATGGACGAAAGACAAGCGTTTTATCTGCTTGACAGCGACAGTCTGAGTACAGTGTGACTGTAAACGGCTAACATGAAAATGGAAGCCGCACATAGCAAAATACTAAAACAAATGCGCAGGTTAGTGCGTTAACAGACTCTAGATTGCGTTAACAGACAACATATACAAGTGCTACCCATAAATGACAAATTGTTAAACAGTGTAAGCGGTTTCATAGATCTTTGGTTTTCGCGCAAAATGTTGACTCGATTACTAAATTTAAATATGTAGAAATATTAACAGTAAATAAAGGTTTAAATACCTAAATTAGATTTGGTTGGGACTAATTTTCTTTCTATACAAAAATGGACTACTTTTTTAGTGCTACTAACAGCCTGCAACAGGCTGACACATTTAACATTTCAAATAAACGAAAAGTATTTTTGGTATTATTATTAAAAGGCCGCAACAGGCAGGTATATTTATGGGCAGCACTTTTCACTGCGATAACATGTGTTTTCAACACGCACTTTGTTTTGTTTAAATAACAATAAACAAAGTCGTTGCAATGGGTGTTCGCGGCTTGACCAGTTACATAGCGCAACGTGCCGAGATCTACCTGAAGCCGTACGAACTGCACAACACCTCTCTCGTCATCGATGGCGACAATCTGGCCTGCAATCTCTACAAAGATGTGACCGGCAGCTATTCGGCCTTTGGCGGGGATTACGATGATTTCTACAGAGCTGTACTGCAGTTCTTCCGTGTGCTCGCCGAGTGTGAGATACGTGCCTATGTCCTCATGGACGGCGGCTACGAGGAGCGCAAATTGCGCACGGTCGGCAAGAGATTGAGGGGAAAGATCGCCGTTATCAAGAAGATAAATCCATGTGATTCCATTACACTCTTCCCGCTGCACCTGAAGGAGGTGTTCGTGGATGCGGTGCGCGACTGCGGTGTGCCCGTCATGCGCTGTGTCTTCGAGGCGGACGACGAACTGGCCGCCCTCGCCCGCAAGCTCAACTGCCCCGTGCTGTCCTACGACTCCGATTTCTATATCCACAATGTCAAGTATATTCCCCTGATTACGCTGACGGTGAGAGTGCTCACGAAACGGCAGAAGGAGCAGCCGCGCGATCGCAGCCTGCGCCGACACGAGGTCAAGCACGTGGCCAAGCGCACCAAGGCGAACAAAATCCTCTCCGCCATTACAACACCAACACCAACAGCAAATGGAACTGCCAAATCGGTGAAATCTTTCAAGACTTATAAATACTTGGACTGCTGCATTTATCGCGTGGAACATTTGTGTGGACGTGGCACACTCAGCGCCGAGAAGCTGCCCCTCTTCGCAGCGCTGCTGGGCAACGATTATATAGCACGGTTTGTCCCGAGCATTATTTATTATATATGGTAATCATTGCTGATTCCAATTCGTCTCCTCCTGCAGCTCTGCATTCAGCAACTTCTTTGCAGTGGGAATGGGCAAAGCGGGACGCAGCCGCAAGCTGAAGAAGCAACAGCGACGCATTCGTATCATCCTGCAGTGGCTGCGCGATCAAACGGCCGAGTCGGCGCTGGAAAAAGTGTTATCCAGGCTGAAGAAGGTGAATTTGGATGATGAGATTTATGTCTATACGTGGAGCGTAAATGGAGGTCTAAGGGGAGACCTATGGACCTTTATTCTTTCTTATTCAATCATCATTCTCATTATATATATATCTATTTATCTGTATTGTAAATTTAACTCAATTTCATTCTATAATCTTGCAGTCACAGCGCGATTCCCTGGTATCCCAAGTGCAGGCAGCCATTTCAGGCTATTCGAATGAGCTGTGCCACGCCTATGATTTCTTTGACAGACACTACGATAATGCCTTTCCATACTTTGAGCCAGCCAGCGAGCCAGAAGATGATGATGGGGAGGAGGACGCCGCTGATTTAACTGAGGGAAGCTCGGAAGAACAGGAAGAGGAGGAGGAGCAGCAGCAGCGAGATGATAAAGATGGCGAATCACAACAAAAAGAAGACAATGCTAATGATGATGATGACGATGAGGAGGAGGACGAGGAAGAGCAGAGCTTTGACGACACAATTGAAGATAAAACGCTGCTATTTCCACAATGGTTCCTTGACAAGCTCTATCCCGCCACGCTCCCGCGCTACTTTGTGGATCTGATGCATCTGCGCAAATACATCAACAACCCGCAAATCGAGCATTTTCCCTACCATGATGCGAATGCCTTGGCGCTGCCCATACTCAACTACATCTTCGCCCTGCTACACCATGTGGAAGGGAAAACGGAAACGGAGCGGCAGGTGGATGCCCAGGGGCAACCTGTGCCCATTGAGTTTACGTATTTGACGCGGGCGCTGCGCGTGACGAACGTACGCTACTATCGTCAGCTCATTGAGAAAGCACCCGCCCATCCCTTTGTGCCGTCCCAGCCGGATGCAGTTCATCTGCGCGCCGTCTTTGAGGCATTTGTGCCGCATACCAATGTGACGCAGCTATTCGAGCAATTGGAGCTGCTGCCTTCGGATTTGCAGCTTTATTTTCTCGCCATTGTCTACTGGCTGCACAGGTCGGAGCACTGCGACATGCTCCACTTGCATGCGCTGCTTATCTGCCTCGTCGTGTTGCGCACTGTGGACGTGACCATCCCAGCCGAGCGGGATCCCAAGGACTTTCAGCAGCGCTTTGGCAAGATCTTGAAGCAGGAGCGTGCGAAACGTGATTCGGAGGCAGCCGAAGGTGTGAAGCGCGACATCAAGCCCGCCCTCCTCGCGCTGCCTGTGCCGGAGCGCATGGCACATGTACCGAAGTCCGATTGCTTCCTGGTGCAGGAGAAGCTCCTGCCACACTTTCACATGCAGGAGATCTTCAAGAAGAAATACGATTCGTACTCGACAATCGTGCTGCACTCGTTCGCCGAGTTCCAGTCGGTGGTCTATCAACTGAATGGACTCAATGCGCTGCTGGATCAGCCCCTAAGCAGTCCACACATGAATCGCCTCTACTGCGGCGCCTTCATCTATAATCTTTACGATTTGTTGCGCAATCGCATCGATGTGCGCTACCATGTGGAGCACTTTCTCCTGGCGGATTCCCGTCTCATGTTCGACTTCTATTGCTATCTGTTTGATTGGTGTGCGCCCTTCGTGCCCAGCTGGAAGCTGCACTCGGAGGTGGACCAGGCAGCAGTCAAGGCTGCGGAAAAGAAGCGCCTGAAGAAGCAGCGGCAGGCGGCACGCAAAGCGGCAGCTGCTGTGGATCCAGCGGACCCGAATGAAGAAATGCTGAACAAAACGGACAACGATGATGACGAGTTTTTCGATTTAAACAACAAATTCTGTGGATTAAAAGTTTAGTGTGTGAGAAGGAGTTCTTAGATACATCATCAAATCTGTAATCCGTATCAATCCATTTTAATATAGCATAGTATAATACTACAATTAAATCAAATCATGATTGTTACATTTTAAATACCTTTTTTAAAAATGTAAACAAAATACATTTTTAAAATTGTGCGCCAACCCTTCACTCTATTAACAAATATTTCGATTAGAGTTATCGAAAAGTTGTGGACAATTGTTATTGTTAACAGCACTGTTAAGTGAATGACACTTCAAATTTTTCTAGAGCAATTTTAATTCAATGAAAGTGTAATAGAAACAATAAAAACTGTCACATTGACTGATTTTCAAAAGCGCATAAAATTAAACTTTAATTTAATTTAATTAGTTGTAAATAATTTGAGTAAACATATGAACAGAGAATGTCCAACGCCAGAGACACACAAACAAGTGGCTGTCATACCAGCATAACGCCAACGCGTCGACTGCGCAGCTGACGACGCAGCGAGCACAGTTTTGTTATCGTTGTAATCAGCACACACGAAAAATAAAACAAGCCACCTAAAACAGTTGCTCCGAATAGCAGACGAGACAAAAACAATTAAGCGATTAGCTTAACAATTACACTGCCAACAAGTAAAGCAAAATCAATCCGCTTTTTTCCGCAGCCCTGGCAACAGAATTAGCCAAAACAAAAGACAAAGCTGAAACGAAATAAAAAACACAACGTCATTTGGTCAGCGACTGCGGCAGTGACAGCGGGCAGAAGCAGCGCGGCGCTCAAGGCGGAAGGACGGAAGGAGTTAATGCTAGTTAGCCTGTACGCACAGCTACAACGCGGCATGGACAGCGTATTCGAGGCGTACCTCGGCCCGGACGGCGTTTTAGCTGGCGCTGTGGGCGAGATCGAGGATATACCGAAACGCAATACAAATGTTTGGCTTCTGGGCAAGCGCTACAATGCCATACAAGGTGAGCGGAATATAAATATGGTAGTACATTGAAGAGCCGCTTAAGTTCATGGCAATTCAATGTCAGGGAAGCGGTTCTCCAAGCGCAGTCTTCACTGTGTATCTTTAACTACATATTGTACTACAAATATGCACTCTTACCTTTCTAGAACTGGAGCCAATCAGACGTGATATTCAGTCCCGCCTGTGGTGCACGTATCGTCACGGATTTGTGCCGCTCGGCGAGGTGCAGCTGACCACCGACAAGGGCTGGGGCTGCATGCTGCGCTGCGGCCAAATGGTGCTCGCCCAAGCCTTAATCGATCTGCATCTGGGTCGGGACTGGTTCTGGACGCCCGACTGCCGAGATGCCACCTACCTGAAGATCGTCAATCGATTCGAGGATACGCGCAAGAGTTACTACTCAATACATCAAATTGCCTTAATGGGCGAGTCGCAAAACAAAGCTGTGGGCGAGTGGCTCGGACCCAATACAGTTGCCCAAATACTCAAGTGAGTGAGGATGATTGATGGACTGACGAATGAATCTGATTGACTCATTGACTGATGACAGTCTATGGATGATTAGGAATAAACAGTTTACAAATGTATATGGGTAACTGACTTATTGATTGACTCGCTGATGATTTAGAGTCAATTTTGATTGAAGGCTCAGACAAAATAGTGTTACCCAAAGATATAAAACTGCTTATAAGATAATTTAAGACCTCTCCATATATCTCTATTAATTGCAATTATTACCAGATCATAGACCAATTACGAGACTGAATGATCAGATTGTATCTATCTATTATATATCTATCACATATTAATGTTTTTATTCCTCACAGAATCCTTGTGCGCTTCGACGACTGGAGCTCGCTGGCCGTGCACGTGGCCATGGACAGCACCGTCGTCCTAGATGACATATGTAAGTATGCAAAAATCCACATTTGGCAACCTTACTAATTTGTCTTACCTTGCAGACACCTGTTGCCAGGAGTCCAGTGAGTCGACGTGGAAGCCATTGCTGCTGATTGTGCCGCTGCGGCTGGGCATCACCGATATTAATCCCATTTATATACCTGCCCTGAAGCGCTGCTTGGAGCTGAGCAGCAGCTGTGGCATGATTGGCGGCCGGCCCAATCAGGCGCTCTACTTTCTGGGCTATGTGGACGACGAGGTGTTATATCTGGATCCGCATACGACGCAGCGAGCCGGTGCTGTGGCACAAAAGACAACGGCGGCCGAGCGAGAGCTGGACGAGAGCTATCATCAAAAGTATGCGGCACGCTTGAGCTTTGGCGCCATGGATCCCTCGCTGGCCGTTTGCTTTCTGTGCAAGACGCGCGACAGCTTCGAGGAGCTGCTGCAGCAGCTGCGCCAGGACGTGCTCACCCTGTGCACGCCGGCGCTATTCGAGATAAGTCAATCGCGTGCCGTCGACTGGGATACGGCGGATGACATCGAATGGCCGGCCATGCCGGACATTGATTGGCCCGCCAGCAGCGACTCGGAGCCGTTCGCCTTAGTGGGTGAGTGTTAAACGAAAGCTCACTCAATTTCCGTCTCTTATCAATGCGCTCCAATTGGCAGGCAACAGCAGCGACGTCGACAGCAAAGCCCGAGAGAGAGGCGGCGACTGAGAGAGAGCGCCACAGAGAGCAGCGACTGCGCCCTGCTCAACGTATATATATGTATATACATTTATATGCAATATATATATATATAGTTAAACCTGTACGAAATTGGAGCAACTGCTCAGCTGTGCAGCTCAAGCGGATGCTGCGGCTGACTGAATGGCTATAAACTATAAGAAATCTAGTGTTAAGTTTTTTAGTTTGTTTACGATTGAAAACACATATATAAGTGAATATATATATTCATGTATATATATTGCACATATATATATATATTTCATATGCTGCTTTATTGTACGTTTCATTGACTCCACGGGAGACAATTTAATACACACACACACACATATACACCTACAACACACACAAACAAACGCCATGTTTATGCTTTCTGTAACAATGAAATGAATACAAACTACCTTATTAATTGATTAAAATACCATTTTTTATATGGAATTTCAAAAGTAGTCCGAACAGTTGTTTCCCTTCTTGATATATATGTATATATATTTATGTATGTTAATGTATATGTTGTATTCGTATAATTCGTATGTGTATATAGAGTATATATATATATGCTCAAAAAATGGACCAACAACTAAATACATAATACTTGGACTACATTGTATCTATGTAAATTTCACTAGATTTCAACACACATTAAACTGGTTTGTTTTTGGCTAAAATTTGTTGTAATTGTATCAAAATTGAGACCTTATTTATGGTAATATGGTATATTATGAGATTTATGGAGCATTTACTAAATTTTCATTTATATTTTTAAATATTATTGTTATAGACATATGAATTCGTATTTTTATCGTTGGATTTAAAATTTTATGTCGAGCAAATTTATCTATATTTTTTTTAATTATTTTTTACTCAATAATCGATAACTCGAACAATATCTTAGCTTGATTTGTATATATTCAAAGTTGATTTTAACTACATTTTATCTATTCGGTTTATTAAATGTTTTTCACATTTATTGAAAAACGTTCTTAAAGATTTTCGTTTTCTCAGTAGATCTAAGATTTGTTGTAGCATTTTTCGCAAAGTTAATTTCCTAGTTATTCCGCCCATCAATTTTCAGGGTCTTTACCAGTCTAATGTGCATATTGTTTACATATCATAATTAGCGATATCCCTCAATACAATTAATTAACAGTTTACACAACTCAGAACCTAGACGCAAATAAGGAACTTCTCAGCTCTTTCGCTCTACTCTAATAACAAGAAACGCACATAACTTTTGCTTGGCTGCCTTTGCTGGGCTATCAAATTGACGCTAATCATTAAACATTACTCATTACTTATTAGTCATTAGTCATTAATCGTTAGTCATTAATCGTTAGTCATTATGCATTAAATATTATAATTAATTGTTAAATTTAATTGAAGCTGTCTACAGGATGCAGCATTGGCGTTCGATGCGTTTCTCCGGCTTTGGCTCCATTTGCAGCGCCATCTCCACGTGCTTGCGCGCCAGCCAGGATTGCTTCTGCAGCCGGTTGACTATGATGCGATAGGCGCCAATGATGTCGGATCGCGGGCCGCTGGGCGTGGCTGCTATTAGCATTTGGGAGGTGACGCCCAGCTCGGCGAGCAGCTGCCTGGCCTCGAACTCCAGGGGGCACAGCTGGCTGAGATCGTCCGTATTGGTGGGCAGCATCACACAGCTGCCCGTCTCGGCGTCGTAGTTCTTGAAGAGCGGACAATCGTCGGCCACCTCGATGCTCCACTGGCTGAGCTTGGCCGTCGGCCCGCCGTTCGAGAGCTGCTTCTCCGGCTCCGTTTCAATGGGCGTTATCTTCTTCTTCAACGTGCCGCAGAAGAGATACCGCCGCCCAGGCCCATTGCGCTTGGCCGGCTCACCGTTCGCCTCCAGCTCCTTGGCATGGATCCCGGCGGCTGCCTGCTCGTGGTCCAGCTCGATGGGATGCAGAAAACTGTGCGTAAACAGCTCATCCTGCTGCCTTGTATTCATACTAATCGCCGGCTTCTTAACCACCTCCGCGTACCGCTCCCGCAACGAGGCGCTCTTCCGCAGCCGCTGCGACTTGCGCACCCAGAATACGGAGCGCTTGGCCGGCTTGCTATGCAAGTTCAATTCGAGCTGCATCAGCTCAGCGCTCAACTTGGGGCACGTCACAAACTGACTGTTCAGTATATCGTCTATGGTGGGCCGCTGGGCGGGCACATGGATTAAGATTCGCTCTAGAAGAGGAGAGTGAAAGAGAAAGAATTATTTCCGCTTGTGACGCACTGGGGATCTGGGATCATAGGATCATAGGATACTCAGACCATAAGGCCATCGAGCACTTCTGGGACTATAAAATTATAGAGCCATGGAACTGTACGAGTACAGGAGCATAGAGCCGTTGTATCATACAATTATAGAATTATAGGATCATATACCTCATACCATCGAACAAAATGAGAAATACTTACGAATTAGTCTTATGCAGGGCAAGCTTAGCTGGCCAGGCAGCAGATAGTCGCCCTTGAGTATGGCTGCCTTGAGGCCCGGTATGGTGGGTGCTCGAAATGGCATATTGCCGACGACCATAAAGTAGAGCAAAATGCCCAGAGCCCAGACATCGACGGGAGCGCCTATGTAATGGTCGTCGGAAAAGAGTTCCGGTGCCGCATAGGGCGGCGAGCCACAAAATGTGTCTAGCTTCTGATTGGCACCTAATCGAGTATTGGATAGATTATCGAGTCAACATAGGGATCCTAACTGGCCGCGATTAGGACTTACCATTGATGAGCTGTGTGCTAAAACCAAAGTCCGCTAGCTTGAGGCGATCCTCCGAGAGCAGCAGCACATTCTCCGCCTTGATGTCGCGATGCACATAGCCCAAGCTATGCTGCAGTGGAGCATAGAGAGGGAAGGCAAGATTATGCCTTGTTTAATGTGAACTGCTTTGATTAGCTCAGATTGATCTCACCATGTGCTTGACGGCGAGCAGCAGCTGCTTGAAGAGCGGCGCAGCGTGAATCTCGCGCAGTGGACCACCTTGGGTGATGTGATTATACAGCTCCCCACCGCGTATCCACTCTGTGACCAGATAAACACGACCCAGCGTCTCAACCACCTCAAAGAGCCTGGAAGGAATTCGAATTTGAAATATGCTCCAAGAAGCAAAGTCTCAGCACTCACCTCAATATGTTGGGATGATGAACACACTCGAGCGTCGCTATCTCGCTCGATAGCATGCGTAGAGCCTTGGCATCGAGGCCAGCTCGATCCAAGTCAACTACCTTGATGGCCACCTTGTCTGCAAGTTCGATTGAATTCTTATTATAGATGGGGATCATCAATCATTTATATATAATTAGCAGAGACTTACCTCGTGTCAACTGGTGCACGGCCAGTTTCACTTTGGAGAAGTTGCCGCGTCCGATGTCGCCACAGAATCTGTAGAGGCCAATGCGACGGCCAATTGTGACCTGGTTGGAGAAAGTAAGAGTATAACAAATATATTTCAAGGATTTCAAGATATCTATACATATTCTAGATATATTTATTAATTGTATCAATTAGTATTGTTTTTAACTTAAGAAAAAAAAAAAACAACTAATAGTTAATATACTTAAAAAGTTTTTTTTTTTAATAAAAAGAAAAGTTTTTTTTGTTATGCATTTTAAAAAATAAAATGTTGCAACAATTTTTTTGTATAGTTTAATTTTGTCAATAAAATGTTTAAAATTTTTTTTAAACTAACACACATTTTTTTTAATTGCTTAATAAATTGATTGCAAATTACTTAACAATTTTTCTAAGTGATATTTTTTATTTGGATAATGTTTTAATAATAAAA